CTTAAACTATTAACATAGAATTTTAGTAACATATATCATTATTAGACAATACAATGTGTTATTACATTAATATAACTTGAAAATATCTATACAACTAGTTAATTATCATTGATGAGTAAAAGAATATACGTACCAATAGACATAATTTGAATACTCAATATAGTCGGTGATAATTTTTCTAAGTGGTCCCTTAAATTTTACATTTCAAAAAAATAAAAATAAAAATCTAAAGAAAGGAGATCCAAAATCTAAGTTATTGTCAATAACCTTATACTTTGTCAACTATTATATGTTAAAGTTTTGTTAACCGTTCAACCCCATGTTGATTGAAAGTTAACTCTTGTCCCATATAATATTCAAGCTCCACCATCTCCCAAATTGACTTTGCATAACGTGTTATTGCTGTAAACAACATTAATTGTGGGCAAAAAAACAGACACAATTGTTGTAGCATGTTGGAACTTGGAGCCTCCATGTTATGTTATTTACCTCTCAAAAGCTGAAACTATTGTGGGACTCAAAGGTCAGCATGTCATGAAGTGCCTCCCAAGTCCCAACAGTGCACAATCAAACGTAAAATATCAATTTCATGGTTCCAAAAGCAAAGCATATAGTTTAATAACCATTATGGGGAAGAAAAATGAAAAAGCATTAGCAAGAAAAAAAGAAAATTCAAAATGTGGGTCAGATTCTGATCTAGTTGATCACAAACTTTTTGCTTTTACTTTTTATTATTTTATTTAATTCAAGAATTTTCCCGAACCTCTCGTTTCTGAATTGGTTAACTATTTGAAAGATTGCAGAAGAATAACATGGCAATTTTTTTATTTTTATTAAAGAACTAAAATTTTACTTTTCTTTTTCACATGGGGTAGTCGGTGATAAATTTATATCGGTAAATGTTTTATGTCAAAAACGCGTTTGGGTTGAACTTTTTGAGCGTTTAAAATAAAAGAAAAGTCACAGACAAAGCAAAAACCAAATGAACTGGGAACAGCTTCTTAGGCACACATATCACAGACATCACATAACCCAAGTTATCATCATTTCTTTTTCTTCTTAGAACAAAGTATTCAATAATTTTATCCACAATCGTAAATAAATATAAACTAATTACTTTTAATTATATTTTTTTATTTAATATAACAATTTGTTGATAAAAGATATGATGGTGATGATGATTGTGGTGATAAATGTAATTAAGTTGAAATTAGCGTGTTGGAAGGGATGTGTTTGTGTCGGTGCGAATGTAGCACACTCCCACACATCCTTTTGTTCTAATCTATTATCTAAGCCACTCACATAAATGGAAATATGGAATATCATTCGCAATTGAGGTGAATTGTTCTTTTACAACCACATGATCCAAACACTGCCACAAAGAGCAATAATGGAAGTAAATAACACAACGAATAAAATGCTTGTACAAACTTATTATAGTCACAAAATTTTTGTCCACTTTCCTTTCCTCTTTCATAGTGTCAAATTTTGCGTATATATTTTATAATTTGTACTAGCACCATCTTTATATTTTTTTGTTAAAGTTTTTCTAAACAATATTGTGATGCAAGTAATTTAATCATACCTGATTAAACAGAAGAAACGTTCGTATAGTAATAAAAGAATACACACATTTTATTATTATTATTATTATTATTATTATATATATATATATATATATCCTAAAATACTTACACTTATTATCTTAAAATACATAGTGTACTCTAACAAGAAAACATCAAGTGAATGTACGACAATAATTAAATGCAAGAATTTGCTAACATATGATTTTTTTTTTAATTTAAAATAAGGATTATTAATAACTATTCTTAAACTATAGATAAAAATAACTTGGTTGAAGTTAAAATTCAATTATAAACATATTCTTTAAACTTACTATATATAATCATCGTTGTCATAATTATTACTATTATTATCACTTATTATCTTTTCTTTTATTTTGATCAATATCATCACATAATTGATAGTGTTAAATGATAATACAATTATAATAATAATAATGTCAATTTATAATAGTAATGGTGGATAATAATAATGGTAATAATAATAATAATAACAATAATAATAATAACAACAATGATAGATAATAGTGATAGTTGTAATTATGAAAACTACGATAGTAATTATTTTATAGGAAGTATTTACAATTAGATTTTAATTTTATTTATTAATTTACTACAATAAATGTTACATATAGTGACATACAAAAAATGTCACTCTAAATATAATATATGTAGGTATATATCTATTTGGCATATAGCTACGCACAATTTTAGTGTTGATTTTGAATGAGATTTAACAACATATTTTGTGTGTCACTATAGCTTATACCCATATTTTTCAACAATATACCAATATACATTATATTTATTATGTGGGTAAAAGTAATTTTTAGTGACACTTATTGTCACTATACGGCAATTTTCTTGTAGTGATTATTTTTAACCATAATGTAAACATTTATTATTAATATTTTTATCTCACATTTTAATAAGCTTCTTGCTTAAAACATCCTATGTCGTATATACATACACACGTTCTATGGTGAGACAATTTTCATTGGTAATAATTTAGACGCACCTTAATCACAGTAAAATCGTTTTCATTGAAAAATTATTCGAAATTGTTTGGTGTATGAAGGTACTCTTTTATCGGGGAAAACCACTTAAAATAGAAAGAAAAGAAAAAACATTTTGTATAGTAAAAATGACTTTACTGAAAACAGAAATATAATAATAATTATTATTATTATTTGGAAAAAGGAAGAAATATATCCCACAAAGTATAGACCAAAAGTTAAACCAGGCAGACATAGACGAGACATGCAGCTGAGACAAATCCATATCTCTTTCTATTTCCCTTCTGTTCTTCATTTTTATGATAATCATGCAAGAATAGGAAAAACATACCTAATAAGCTAAGAACGCATTCAAACTTGTATGGTTCTAAATGTTTTGTTAAAAATTAAGTATGAACAGAGAAAGGAATGATGATCAACACAAACTTTATTAATTAGGTTGAAACACAAGTTAGTTACCTGAATTTAATTATTCTGGTCCACGTTAGAATAATTATGATGAACTACCTGCCATATCCAAATGGTCGGTTTAATTTGATTTATCAAAATCGAAAGAGAAAAAAACGATAATATTGATTGTTGATGGGAAAAATTGCCACAAATAGAATTTTATCCATAGAACTAGCTAGTTTTAATTCATAACATATATATATATATATATATATACCACGAAGGAATTTGGATATCTTGTATATGAGCTGAGAAATCCTTGTACATATATATATATATATATATATTAGTTTCTCGAAACACAGTTAAATGCTAAAGACCTTTCCCTGTAGAATTTTATTTACACATAATCTTAGGATTGAATTCAATATCACATGCTTAATAAAATTGGAACCCTTTCTCATTCACACTCACACATGTTGATTTAATGAATAATGCTTATATACAGTGCTTTTCTTTATTTTACTTCTAAATAATATGGAGTCGAATTTTCTTGTAATTCCTTCGCCGATAAGGAAACCTGCAAGTTTGATCAATTTTTTTGCTAATAACGGTAATTATATTTATGTATAAATTTAATACATCATTTGACTATAGTTGTTTTTTTTTAGAAATTTCACTTAATTTTTATTATTTATGTATAATTATGATATCAAACCTAATTGTTCTCATATTAGTGATTCGTATTTCACTTTCTTTCTCTATATGTCTATATAAGCATTATATCAAATTCCAAATGTTCATGGCAGAATTAATTTAACAGTCTCATGAATACTTTTTTTAATTATAATCTTATTTAAATAATTTTCTTCATAAACATTTATAAAAAAAATTCTCTCATAAGCTAAAATATATAAAATCATTTATTTATAGAAATTAAATAAAATAACTTCTACAAACTAGTTTTATACTTTAAACTAATTTTAATTTATAATAAAATTATTTTTTCTTCACGGGTATATATAAGTTCTTATAAAAAAAATTATCCAATAATCAAATCCCAGTTCAACTTTAAGAATCAAAATATGATATCAGCTTAAGTTGTAAAATCAATGCAATATAT